CCCCAAAACCCCAAAACCCCAAAACCCCAAAACCCCTTTAGATTTTTTAATACTTGAACTTCATATTTCCTTCAAGGTAATCCTCAAAACTCTCTTCACTATTTTCAACTTCATCCCACAGTTGCATGTCTTTGATCGTGTCGATGACATCAGATTCTAATATGTGAGAAGTATGCTTACCTGCAAATTCTTTTGGGACTTTGTTAACATGATGAATCCTGTGATCATCTTCCTCAACATCCTTGTTTTTCTTGTAGAATTTTTTTGAATATATTCTATATTTCGGTAAGCCGTAATTTAGTTTTCTCAGAATTTGCTTATTATCCTTCCTGTATATTCCACATAGTTCATTCAGGTCTCTGATAATTTCGATCATATGTCTTTTGATACTCAGTCCGCGTCTTCGCTTGATCTGATCAAATCCGATAATATAGTCTCTGGTTGCTCTTCTGAACAGTGGAATTTCAGCATCTTGGGGCTTTCCATATTTTTCATAATCATCATAACTAATAGCATTTATGGTGAATGCCTGCTCCTCATTGGCTTTAAGATCAGACTAAAGTACCTTACCACAAATGGCTTTGGCAAATACTGTGTCTTCATCGAATTCGAATTTTTCTATAGTGTAAGTTTCAGGACAGTACTGGGTGCATTTAACGTTTTAATGATCCCATCTACCATCTTTTCATGCTTCTCATAATTAATTTCTTCAAAATTAGCTGGCATTTCTTCTTTTCCATCAGTACTATAGTTCATGAGAGTATAAATACTTTTGGAATCCTGTAGACCTAGAGAATGAGAATATAAAACTACATCACAACTGTCTTTGCTAGCTCTTTAAGCTGCCTTTTCATTTCTTTCTTTATCTTTTTCTCCTTTTTCGCCTTATCTTTACTCCGTTTCTTGCTCTTTTTAGAATCTTTACGTGCTGAATGAGTGTTAGAGAGAAGCAATCGGTTTACCTATTTCATGACTGTGTTTGTAAGCAACAAGTTTGTTAGGGGCGTCACTGTCACTATCTGAGGCAAAGTAGTCAGCTGCCCTTTTTCTTTTGTTCTTAGTTTTGTCTATAAAATTGAGGGAAAATGCTACCTTTCTTTTTATTTATGCTTATCTTTCTTAGAGCTCTTCTTTACATCTTTGCTTGATTTCTTTTTTGAACTCTTCTCTCCATCATCGTAGCTTTTGCCGATAGTAAGCCAGTTAAATCTTTCTTCATTGATCATATTGATTTCTATTAATTCTAATTTTTAAGGGGTTTTGGGGTTTTGGGGTTTTGGGGTTTTGGGG